TATTTTTATTTGATTAAAAATATTTTCAATTATCATTTATATAATATATTAAATTTTCATTTAAAATTCTCTCTTCTATATATTAAGATTTATTGTAAAGGATCAACTTGAAAGCCATACAATTTAAAGATAATTAGCAGTTCTCTCTACTATAAGAACTAAGAGAGCTAACTAAGATGTCAACTATAGTGAAGTTGACTTTTATCGAATATCTCCACTAATTATCTCTCACACACTTTCTAGGCCTCTTTTAGATTGATCTTATTCCTCTAGCTTTCCACTCACCATACATTGAGATTTTGTTGATCCATATTTTAGGTTAATTGTTTGGAGTGCCAAGCAGGAAACTTATTCCGATCTTTGACTAAGCTCTAATGCCTTATTTTGCAGATTTCTCAAATGTCAAAAACCTGTACATCATCTATTGGTTTTTCGTCAAAAACTTGATTGTCATTTTCTGGTCACAACAGTTTTCAACATATATACTTCTCTAAGCCCTTCACTTTCTCGTTAGAACTGTAAAAGATCTACAAGTATACAATGCCCTCGGGCTATTAACACTAACTAGAGATCCCTCCAAGCCCTCCCCCAAAATTGTATGCAGTTCCAAAAATAAAAAAACAGTATAGATGCAATCCTTGTATCACTTTCTCAGATCAACTTATTTCAGTAATTAATAAGAAAAAAAAGATTTACATCATTAATATTTCAGTTTTTTTTCAATAATTTTAGAGTGCGCCTTGGGTCTTGAGCTATATAGTTTACCATCCCGCAACTTGATAGTGTCTTGTGCAGAACTGCTTAAGTGGCAGTTGTGGAACGCTGAGCTAGCAAGGTATCAAAGTTAGCTAGTTGGTAGGTTAGATTAAAACAGAGTAGAAAAACGGAATTGTAACCGTGTATATAATTCATTCTGGGTGTAATTGTACAGGGGTTGTGAAATGATACAATCTTCCTATTTTCTCTCTTTCTGCCTTCTCTTTATCAACTTCTTCTTTTACTCTCTCTCAAAATTCTGATTCCATCACAACCAAAGCAAAAAATTACTGGATCCTGTTAGCCAAGACCACAAGTTGCCGACACATAGGAAGCCTTAAGACAGAGATTCAATCCAAAGATAGTTTGTTGGTCTTTAACGATGAATAGAGTAGAGTGATTGCCGAGAGATCCTGTTTGACATTACAAGAACTCTTTTTTACAGAGCAGGGAAAATGCGAAAGTCCAAACTTATTCAGGGAAAAGAGAAAAATAAAAAACAGAAAAGAAAAATGAAATACTTCATCAGCACACATGGCTGGGCAGCTCTTGTTCATCAAGTAACCATTTGAACCCAACAGAAACTCTCCGTAAAAGCTAGCTCATTTGGGCTGGCTCTGCATCCCTATATGGTCACTGAAACACACATAAAAATAGAGAAATCAAATTTATGTCAACAGTATGCTTAAAAAAATGGTGAAATGCTCGTTTTTACTTTCTTAAATTCAAGGAATGGGTATAGGAATCCATTTTAATAATTGTATTAGGAGCATAAATTGTGTCCAACGGTAATGATTTGGCCTTGAGTTCATCCTTCCTCATTCCCTGTTTCGTCCATGATTTAGGCGCAGTATCTCTTGTTTTATTAAATTGTTCTGTCTTTCCTCTTTTAACTCAGCCAGTTTGGATAGTCAATTTTCTGGGGTGTCAGCTATCTTCTTCTTTTTATTTTTTTAGTTTTATGAGTTAGTTTAAATGGGAAAAAAAAAAAAAAGAGGGGGAGAGGGGTGGAATTGAGACCAACCGGAGCGCCTGAGTGAGGGCGGTGGCAGTGGGGAAATCATTATTTTGTCGTGCTTTTAGAATTTGAAACATGAGAGTAAGGCGGTCACGGGAAATGGCACTCTGCTGCGTGATGAGTTTAGTCTCCTCGTGTAGCTTCTGGCATTCAGATTCTATGGATTCAAATTTTTTCCTAATTTGCTTTTGTCCCTCTCTAATGCTTTTCTGGTCCTCACTTATCTCTCTCATCTCTGCTTGTAACTTTCTCATGCTGGATTTGATTTTCTTCATCTCTTTTGCATTCTATACCAAAATTTATAAAATACTTAAGAACATATTTGAGGATCGTTCTGTTATATAACAAGCAGAAAAAGAATGGTAAATTCTATATTTACCTGATGCCTCAGTTGTTGTGAACACGATGCCTTGGCTACTACTGTTGAATGCTGTAAATTGAACGGGGCCATATTTTGCCACTGGCTTGAGTTTTGGTTTTTGTTTTTTTTGTTGGAGGGGCGGGTGGGGCGCAGGGTGCTGGGGGAGGAATTGCTAGCTGATGTTATACATGCAATTGCATGTATATAAGCATCTATATATATAGAGGCACCCTCTCTCCTCCTCCTCCAGTCCTCCTACTCCTCCTCCTCGAAGTTGAAGTCTTTTCCCACTGCAATTTGTGGGGTCTACAAAGAAAAGGTATTCTCACAAATGTGTCAAAAATGGACAGCGGCGAAAGAGATCGCAAGGTTTTGGTGGATTGACGCAAGCCTTCCTAGCGGATCGAACGAAATATTAGTTGTTAGACATTCGTGTCGCGCGTTAATAGATGTCTACAAAGGTATCGTTGGATAGATTCCTTTTTAAAAAAATATATATATCGGTCCCCATCGCGGCCTCACTGATCGTTGTTTTTCACGCCGTCAGCTTGCGTCATCAGTACATTAATTATAATTTTTAATTGATTTATATTAAAAATATAAAATGTAATAATACATCTTAAAATTTTTAATATATATTTTTAATACACAAATTAAAAATATATATTTTTATAAATTTATATAAAAATATAAAAATTAATATTAATTTTAATAATATTATTATATAAATAAATTTAATTAAATAATTAATAAATTAATAATTAATTTATATTTTTTATTTAAATTTATAAAAATATATATTTAAAACACTCAAAATCTTAACATCGTGCTTTTAGGAAAAACCCATGCATCTTTAAGGTGTGACTAAGCCTTAAAGAACCCTTAAATAGTTGTTAAAAAAAAGAAGGTTTGGGGTCCACAAAAATAAGTGTTGTTCTCAATGCGTCAAAAGTAGGGGATCGCGCGGTATTGTTCGATTGACGCGTACCCACCGAACAGGTCGCGCGTTATTTATTGTCAAGACATTGTAGTCGATCGTGAAATGAGAAATTTAAATAAATATCATATTAATAAAAATCTATTTTTAAAGTTAATGGGAAAGTGGATTAAGTTTTTGAATTTAAGTGATTTATTTTTAAATTTTAAAGTATTTAAATTAATTGATTGAAATTTTAAACCCCATAAACCCTTAAAAAAATTTTTTTTTAATCTTTAAACGGTAAATTATTAAAAAAAAAAAAGCTAATTACAAAGCAGTCGGCCCACGAGGACAGGTGCGAGTCGGGCGTTTGGATTGTGCTAAACGACAGATTCATCACTGGTTATTTGTTTTCCACGCCATCAGTTTTGGTCCTTTCTG